TAAAACTATTAATAGTTCCACTGTCGAGTAAATTATTTTTGCTTAAAATTAGAATGAACATAAAACATTAAAAAAACAATTAATTTGTTAGGTCTTAGGTCAATGTTTGAAACATTAACACTGGTAACTGCGTTATCAATATGACCATTATAAACAGTTTTATAATTGCATTACCACTCGTACTTATATTATTTTATATTCATCGCATGGAAATTATACCTAATTGTTCGACAATGGACAATGTCAGAATATGATATAATAATATAATAATATAACCATAATGTTAATTGTTAATTATTATTATATATTAGTCAATAATTACAACAAAATCTAACATATAAATATGAAAAACACAATGTAAAATAAATACATAAAAATTGAAATATCCTACAAGCTAAGAAAAATGTAATTAATAATATAATGTATCTACCTAACTAATGGTCTTTGCTGTTGAAGTTTTAACTAGGATTATTGAAAAAACAAAAGAAATTATGTTATAGACTTATAGTGAACAATTTTTTTTTTACTTTTTCAATAATACTCATGTTAATATATCATCATTATGTGTAAATAATATTATGTAGATAGCAGGTACCTATTCAAAGTATTTCAAACTGTAATACTATCATGATTTGACAGTTGACTAGCTTTGCATCAAAACACCAATGACCAATATAGATCTAGATTGTATACATATTAGTAAGGAATTAAAGTATAAAGTATTAAAGTAGGTATGTATATACTCTATCTATACGACCCATTTTCTATCAGAAACCAGTAACCACCCTTAAAATTAAAAGTCTAATAATTAGTCTACTTTTGATCACGAACAAAAAAAAACATCGTTATAAAATCTTAAATCAATACATTCGTCGATCCGTTTAGAATCATAATTGTATTTAAATATTTGTTCGGCTAAAACGTAAAAATAAATTATTAAACATTGCACTATGTGGGTGCTTTGATATGCATCCAATTGTTAAATTAAAAAAGGGGGAGAATGGTGGGGTCAATGACGTTCGATATCATGTTAAACATTTCGGCGCCACTGAAGTTATATATAATTTTATATTTATATACAATAAATATATACAAATATACAATGCTTTTTATTTTTACAATAATGGTATATCGATACAGTTTTATAAATTGAAAACTTTAAATATTAAATTACTGAAGTAGAGAATAAAAGGTAAGCTATAACTTAATCATAAAAGATAAATTATTTTATTTTTAGAATTTAATCTATTATTGTATATTTGTATTACCTATATATGGTATAACCTTTATAGTTTATATTATATTAATATTTAATATCTATATGTGACTATGTATAATAATATTATGTAGATCAGTAGCTCAATTATCGGGAGTGTTGGGTGTGCAATTCACAGGGGCCCCGGGTATTTGGGGGCCCCCAGATCTCATATACGATATTTCTACTATAATATGTAATATACAGAATAATATAATAATAATTAAAAAAGGTGGGTAAGTGGATGTCGCTCTGCTGTACAGTAGGTTACAAGTGGGTCACTGTATAATGGATGCTATTAAATTTGAATTCAATGATACAATATCATTGTATAAGAAAAACGATTCTGAGCGAAGACGGTATGTCAGTCTAGGTTTAAGACAAATTATATTCATATCTATGGTATTAAAAAAAAAATTGACCTATAATAAATTCCAAATTAATCATATCATATTATCACAATATCCATTTGGTACTTATAACACGTTATACATCAACATCAATAACAAACCCTGATACTATCATAGATATATAATAGTACACTTTAGAAGTTTCAAGTAGGTACCCACGAATAATATTATATAATCACAACAAAATTTTGATATGTAATTTCGTCAAAATTTGAACATAAAATGACTATAAAAATAAACTGTGATTGTATATTTTTTAGATTTTTCGGTAAGAGAATTAACTACTTACGTGGAATCTTGTTTTAAATTTTCAATCCTTAGCTATAAAAACTGAACATTTTATAATTTATTAATTACGATGATTAATAAATTTCGAGATTTTGAAAAATTCTGTCAAAATTCGATGTTTAAATGCTTATAAAAAAAAATTGTGCCTATGTATTTTTAATATTTTTCAACTGATATTGTAACAATATATCAGGAGCCTTGTATTAGGTTTTTACACTTTTTGGCCCAACAGATAAAACTTTATTGATATTCATAGAAAAAAAAACTAAAAAAATTGAAAAATGAAAATACCCGTAAACAGCTCAAAAAGAGTCAAAATATTTTCAAAATTGTATGGTGTATAGGAAATGCTAAAAAAATTTGAATTTAAAACGCTCATAAAAATTTAATTTGATTGTCCGGTAGAGATTTTTTTATTGATAAAGGTAGACAAACTTATGAGTAATCTTGTATTACATTTTCAAATCTTAGATTTAAAAAGAAAAATTTTTACGAATTCAAAATAATTTGCTAATTTTCGTGATTTTTCCATATTTTGTCAATTTTTGAACTTTAAATGCTATTAAAAAAAAACTGTGACCAACGATTTTTAATATTTTTCATCTGCCTTTGAAACAATATACTAGGAGCCTTCTATTAAAATTTCAAGTTTTTTTAACCAACAAATAAATTTTTATTGATATTTCTAGAAAAAAAACTAAAAAAAAATGAAAAATGAAAATGTCCCTAAACAGTTCAAAATAAATCAAAATATTTTGAAAATGTTATCGTGTATAGAAAATGCAAATATAAACAACCAGTGAAAATTTCATGTATCTACGGCCAGTTGTTTAAAAGTTACACCAAAAACCAAATTCAATTTTTTGAAAAATCAATTTTGCGTAAAAATTCCCGTTTTTTCTTAATTTTTCTTTTGTTTTCCCGGCGCTTGTGAAAACTATTGGGAAATTTTTACTTTTGACCCCCCAAAGTACCAACAAGATTCACTTTCCTATCAGAAAAGCTACTGATGAAGAAAATCCAAGCACTTTTACTGTCCTAAAACGTGATGACAGACACAAAAAAAAAATAAAAAAAAAAAAAAACACACATCATTGTAAAATCAATACATTCATCGTTTCACTCAGAATCTAATATTAATACAATTAATATAATATAATCTATATGTATATTATAAAATAGAAGCACCTTTTTTGTATGGACGAGCATATCTCGAAAAGAACTCTACTTATTACGGTTTTCACTAATAAATCGGTCGAGTCACGGGAAATGTTTTAATGTATAATAATTTTCCTTGGTAAAATTAATTGGGCGGCCGAAAGTAATAACAATCTATGTCTATATATATAAAAATAAATGTTTGTCTGTGTGTCATTGATCTCCTCCTAAACCACCGGAAATGTTTTGTGTGTTTTTGAGTGAGTTCCTGAATGGTTTAGATTCACAATTAGACCCAGTTGATTCAACTCGGAGAGGTGCTCGAACAGGTATTTTGAGATTTATGATAGACACTTTTGTTTATGAATGATTGCTATTGGTTATAGGAGAAATAATTATAGTAAAAAATAGTATTTTAATTGTTTGCCATTAGTTACCTACTCTGGCAGATGAGGCAAAAGGATCCATAAAATCGTCACACGCTTATGGTTTCGAAAATTATATCTTAAAACAAATATGAGAGTTGAATGTGTATTATATAGGTTCTCAAAAACTACTTGACAGAATTTGTGTAAATTTCAAATTGTTCTTGAAGTGTAACGTGCCAACCACTTCAAGTAGTCTTCAACTCAAGTTTGAGTGTATTTTGAATTAAAATAACAAGTTGATGGTATAATGATAGTTTATTTGTATTTATTTAACACGAAAAATATTCTAAGTCCAAATAATTAAATTATAATAATGTGGTAAACGGGATGTGACTTAGTATCGACTTGGTGGCTGCTCTGCTGGTGCTCGTCGTCTCGGCTGGTGTTCGTCTGCTGGACGCTTGTCCATCGACGTATTTCGTCGTTTATTTCTAATAGCTCCCTCCTATAGCATTTTTAGTATAAAAAATGGTACATAGCCGCGTACACCTGACGTCATTTCGGGTGTCCTCTACGAAATAATGTTAATTGGGGATTATATGTTTTCAAAGTTATCTATTTGTGTTGTTTACGGCTTTTTTGTCTTTCCTAGAATATGGATATTGCGTGCGTATACCTATCAAGGCTTCGCGCTGTACCATTAATTAGTTCTGTGCTCTTATCGATGTGGCCGCCCGGATGTCTATATTATTACTATTATCGGGTTACGTGCCCCCTGCAGCATTTATATCTATTATTGAATATAATATATTATATTATAAGCGTGTTATACTTAATACAGCATAATATAATATATTATTTTATATATTATTACTATTATTAATATATACGTAGTCACAGCCCGTTACACCTCATCGCCCTTTCAAAGGTTTTTGTAGGTGCTACAATTTGTAGAACTACAAAAATCTTTAAAGGAATTTTATATAAAACATGGACATAATACATAGTACATATATTGTTAATAATGGTCATAAATACAATTTTACATAATTTCTTTTCATGACATAATGATTTTCATTTTACATAATTTCTTTTTACGATACATAATTTTTCATCACGAAACATAACAATATTTCTTTTTATAACAACATAACATAACATAACATTTTTTTTTTTTTTTTTTTATAACAACAGTTTCATTACATAAGTTACATAACAATATATAATATGTCTTTCATCTGATTTTTAAACATAATAACGTAATAATTAAAATTTTTGTTAAAACAATATACCTTTAATAACTAATACAATAACATACTATATTACTATACCATTTAATACAATAATATTTTTATTATTTTTTTTTTTTATCTGAAAGAAATGAAAGAATATGAATGAAATAAAGAAAAAGTATAATATAGTTGAATTTAGGAAAAGAAATTAGTAATAATTAAAAAAACCAGGCTAGAGTGATAAGCTCTAGCTTTATTATTAAAAGAAAAAAAATGAATAGTTTGCAAGTCAAGCACATTCACAAAGGTTCGGTAACAAGGCAACACAGTTCTTTCTGTGCCATTCATCGAGAAAAATTTTAGTAGAAATCATTTCACCTTCGGAAATTATAATATTGTTGGGAATTAATGCACAACCAACAAATGGAAACAGTGAACCGACACTATGCCCAACATCAGCACCCGCAAGTGCAACCATAGCACCACGATACGATAGTAACGGTCTAAGGCATTTATCAACTAACGGTTTTGGCCCATTTGATCGTAATAGCTTCTGTTGTACACAATCAACCTTATTATATATACCTCTAATTCCCAAAATAGAATCCAGACTAGACATTATACCAAAATAGTAATTAGAAACAGGTACACATTTACCTATAGCCCTCACACCACTCAAGATAACACCGCCGGAAGAAACAGTTTGAGTAGCAAAACTAACTGTCATAAAACTATCGGGAGTACACAATTCGTTACGAAAATATGAGTGAAACTCTTCAATCAAACAAGCAGGACACGAACCACTAAGCGATGCACAAGTAATACCACATTCAAATACACTCCGTTTTTTGGAGTTAGATAGAGTTAGATTAAGTTTAGATGGATCAACACTTATGGTGAGCATTCGTTCACAATGCACATCGGTTAGATAAATACCAAACAAACTCACAAAAATATACGAATAGAAAAAATACATAATAACAAAGATTAAATTTAACAGTACTATGTTATGAAATTTCCTTAGTATTGCAAAAAAGACTATTAAAAGCGGTATTTTTAGTTTCCGGCGTTGTAAACAATTTACAGTGAAGAGGTCAAAACAAAAAAGAAAATTATGAATAAAATTGTATGATGTTCAAAGTAAATGAATGCAACTAATATCGGCCAGTCAAAACGAATTAGTCTAAGATTTAGTTTTTACAGAAAAACTAATAAAAAGTGGTAGGAGATTATATTAATAACTACGACAGGTCGTTTAATGCTTCGCCCTTCCGCTATCGATTGACACCTATTATAAGACTTTAAACAAAGTTTATAAGAGGTAACATACGAACAGACAACCCGTAACACTAAGAAACAACAAATGTTGTTCACGTAATGAGAGAGGTAGGGAAGTTGCTTGAAGCAGATAAAATATTGACTAATCGCAAAATAGCGACTAAACACTACCGTAAACACAGTAGTAATTTTTAGTATTATTTATTTTATTTAACGATTGAAGATTTAGTTTAAAATTAAATTATTATTTTAATTTAATTAAAATAATGGACAAAAAATTTACGACGATATTAATTACGTAAGCATACTTACAACAACGCAGCTGGTACAGCGGGTGCTTCCATTTGCTCGGTTGAAATGTTGATTGTAGTTGGGTGTTACGTAGTTGTACAGGATTCTTTCTCGGAGTTTCTGGAAGGTGTACAGGCTCCCAACGGTGATCCAGTGATGAATTTTCCTCCTTGATTGAATTTAGAAGTTGAAAAATTTTCAAAAAATTTTTAATTGTTCTTCAGGTTTCTTCTAAGTATCCTTTTGAGATACCCTGTCCACAGCGCCAATTTTGTAACGTGCCAACCACTTCAACTCAAGTTTGAGTGTATTTTGAATTAAAATAACAAGTTGATGGTATAATGATAGTTTATTTGTATTTATTTAACACGAAAAATATTCTAAGTCCAAATAATTAAATTATAATAATGTGGTAAACGGGATGTGACTTAGTATCGACTTGGTGGCTGCTCTGCTGGTGCTCGTCGTCTCGGCTGGTGTTCGTCTTTTATTTCTAATAGCTCCCTCCTATAGCATTTTTAGTATAAAAAATGGTACATAGCCGCGTACACCTGACGTCATTTCGGGCGTCCTCTACGAAATAATGTTAATTGGGGATTATATGTTTTCAAAGTTATCTATTTGTGTTGTTTACGGCTTCTTCGTCTTTCCTAGAAATGGATATTGCGCGCGTATACCTATCAAGGCTTCGCGCTGTACCATTAATTAGTTCTTATCGATGTAGCCGCCCGGATATCTATATTATTACTATTATCGGGTTACGTGCCCCCTGCAGCATTTATATCTATTATTGAATATAATATATTTTATTATAACTTATAAGCGTTTTATACTTAATACAGCATAATATAATATATTATTTTATATATTATTACTATTATTAATATATACGTAGTCACAGCCCGTTACAGGAGATATCAGGAAAGTTTAAAGAGTAATTTGAACCACTTTTGATTTATACCAGCACTGTTGATATTTAGTTGGATGTTGAACATACACTTATTATTATTATAATATAATATATTAGATTATATTATAATCTAATGATTAGTATAAGATAATGAAAATATATTTTAGAACATTTTTTGATAATTATCAATAAAGTAAAATAGTCAATAGTACAGTAATATGTAAAGCTGAATCTACATATTATTTTGTACTTGTATAATTGTATGTATAATAAATTACTAATTATACTATTAAGTTCTACATTTAAAAATACAAACAACGTCTTACTTTTTTTAGATTCTGAGCGGAGAGATGAATATACTTTTTATTTGAATACAATTCGAGATTGGCCGACTATGCCGGCGAGATATCCAGATTTTTCCCGTTGGATCGCCGCAGGTAACGGGCTGTTCATACAAATAATAATTATATGCATTCCAGCTAACAGTAGAGAAAAATAGCTATATTGAATAATATTGATGTTGAAGACACTATTGACGTTTCTAAAAATTAAAGTGATCTATTAGATAAAAAAAAACTGTAAACAACTATGTACATTTTTTATATTATTTGATTTGATTTTTAATAAGTGCTAAATAAGAGTAAGGTTAGGGCCTAACCTAACCTTAACCTAACCTAACCTAAGGCACTTTGTTTAGTTATTACTAATTTAAGGACAACATGTTCTGCTAAACTTCAAAATGTATTTATATCCTAAAAAAAATCACTAAATATAACCAAGACGAAACACATTTGAGGGCCGGAAAAATAGTTTTCCCTGGTCGAATTATTTTCATATATAGGTAGTCCGCCATTGACAGGTGACAAGTGACAATCCATGAAATTTTTGTTTCGTAATAGTATGCCTAAGCGATATTAGAATTGCGTTTTAGAGACGTCTTTAGGGGAAAGGCCGCCCACTTATACAATAGAGGGGTATGCTAAACAACCAAAAATATTTCAACAGAAATAACATTGTTATTGGATTGTTGTTTTATGTACGATTGTGTGTTTTTTATATTAAAAATGTTTATGATTTATGAATTGTATGTACCTACTGAATAGGTACCTCGTTACGACAATAATAATATATTCTTTAGAGTTTATAATCTTTATTCTTTATATTTTGTTGAAATATCAACAGGTATCTAGTGCTAATGCTACGGATATCGACAATTAAAATGGCTCACAGATTATAATATATTACATTAGTTACTAGTACAGTAGTACCTAGCGTCTTAGCCTTTTATAGGTAGGTACATTGAAAGTTTTTTGTAATTAAATTGAACATCTTTATTGACCATATTATTTCATGATATTTAAGGTCATGTTATAGTTTACAGGACATATTTATCAGAAAAGTTATTCGAACTTTCTTTGTTTTACCACAATGTACACCATCTAGATTTTTATAATCTGTGATTAAATTCTGTATCTACCTGGCTACCTAGTGGGAAATAAAAATCTAGAAGTATAAAAACATAGTCTTAGGGCCGTTCTGTAAACGGACATTGTAAGAACGGACTTTAATATGTTAAAATTAACATTTTACTCTAATTTTATAAAACCGTACGATTTAATATAGATCGGAATACGGATGAAATATTTTCTGTTGTTTTATTTTCGGTGAACATATTATTCAGACGAAATACGGTTCTGATGCATTATTTTTCTTGTAATATATTTTTTGGGATTTTTTTTTTTTTTTTTTTTTTTTTCATAGTTGCTGAATATTTAAAAATAAGTTAATTAAAAATAGGTACATTTTCAATCATTTATATTATTGTATTTAAATAAAGTAAAGCTATTGATAAAATATAATATATTTAGATTAAACTAATAAAATAATAGGGTCAATAATTTGTGACAGATAAATAATAAATATTCCTATAAATTATAATTTAATCAGTTCAAGTATATTATATTTCTTAAAAATGCATTGTTTGATATTCTATGAATATAAAATATAATATAATATATCGCCGTTCCAATAGAACAATGACGCAACTCCAAAATTTGGTATAAATGGCCTAAATGCTACAATGAGTTTAAATATAGCGTACGCATAATTTAGAAAAACGACGGAACTGTAGTTGTATTTTAGACCTCCAGAGGGCAATTGCGTCGTTGTGGAATTATCAGTTTGTACACTCATAAATAATTAACAATTTAGTTTTTTGGGTTTCCTGTAAAATTGCAATTATTGCAGTTGCGTCGTTGTTCTACCGGGACGGCGATATAATAATAGATAAATTCTGTTTAAATTTAATTTTTCTATAGCAATTTTGAATTTCTATTTGTAATATCGTAACGCACTAATTTATTACCCAACTACTAAACTATGTTAAAATAATAAAATCTAAAAGAATTATTGAGAAGTATGGTATATAAAAACTGAATAGAGACTTGACATTTTCACCAATTGTTTATGCTAAAGCAAAAATGTTCTAGATCTGATATAATTTAAAAAAAAATGGCATCTTCTTGGTACTTAGAGACGTTTGAATTGTTTTGTAAGTAATTTTTTGGTTACCGTTATTATTTCGGCTTATTTTGTTTGTAGCCTAAAATGCTTGAAAATGTAAATATATTGATTTTGTAAAAGTTGATCTATCAGCATTCTAAAAATATTGAAATATAAAGGCTTGATTTTTTTCATTCGAATTTAAGGTTATAATTTTGACAAAACAGCATATAGTACCTAATTTAACAGAAAAATAACTATTTCACTTATTCGTAATTCAAAAAAAATATTAACCGTAGGGACTTAACTCTTCGCCATTATGTATATATCATTACTTTCTATACACAATGCAATATTGCAATTTTAAAAATATAGATTCAATTTTCAATCTGCTCACAAAGCTTGTTGGTGAACATTATTTATTTTTAACTTGACCTCGTATAATTTTCATTATTTAATAAATAACAATCAGAAGAGTTTTCAATGTTATTTACCAAGTAATCATAGTGAAAATGTATTCTTCAAGACATAAGTACCTATATATTTACTCCACGGAAATAAACGTAATAATTGCAATAATATGCGTATTAATATTATATTATATTATTATGCACTATATATTCTGCATTTCTGACAATACTACCTATACACTTTGATTTATTTTTTAATGGTCAACTACAATATAGTGTAGCTACATTTTTTGATTTAATGATCGGATGGACATCTAAATAAATAATATGATTGTTAGCTCAACGATGATATTATATTGTTAGCGTAAAAGGTATTTGAAGAAAACTTACACTTAAATTTGGGTAAGCGGAAAAAATGACCACGGAAAAAAAACCCCAAAAAAAAATCCAACGGAAAAAAACCCAAAAATTAAAAAAACCTACGGAAAAAAAACCCACGAAAATAAAAGTGTGTTTTATATTATTTTGTTGATTAACTCAAATACCTATCATAATACAATCACATGGTTACAGAACATAGTATTCAAACTATAAATATAATAATTAACAAATGTCTTAAGTGATGATATAATCACAATATTACAGATAATAAAACATAACCATAATAATAATCACAATAGTCACAAAAATAATAATTGTAATAATAATATAAAATTTAATAATCGAAAATATAATAATTATAGTAAAAATATTTTGTTGGTCACACTGTAACATAATAATAATTAAGTAATACAAAAGAAATAAAATATACAATTAACATATAGTATCATAGTCATAATCATAATGTAAATATGTAATATCAATAATATCATGCAACCCAACGTGAGTAAGTTGTACCTCGTCATTTAATTTTTTTTTATAAATTAATAATATTATAGTATACATAAAGTTAATCGTGCTTTATTCGTGTGTTATATGAAATAGCTTCTAAAAAATTGTCAATTGTCCTTTTTCCTTCATTGTAATCCATGCAGAGCCGTTTTAATGTTGTTTGATTTTTTACTGTTATTTTTCTTTTTTTTATGGGTTGTATGCATCCTAAATTATACTGCCTTAATTTAGTATCATCTACAGCAACTTCTAATCTAATTTTTTTTATCAATGTCCATATAGATGGATGGTTATGACCTATTAGATTGGAGAATTTATGATTCCATCCCTCAGTCGAGTTATTTGTCCTGTGTTCATCGCTCAATGTTGCATCGTGGACATTCCAGACACTTGGAGGAAACCTTGGTTGAACTTTTTTAAATTTTATATTATTTGCCGTACAATTTATTCGCTTGAAAGTGCCAGTTACATATGTGGAATCAAAATAATCAAGTAAATCTAGGGCAGTATCAGGCATAATAGATTTCAAATATAACATTCCCTGCTCAACATCTGTCAGAGGTAAAAATGCCAAGCCATCTAACATTCCACAGAATTTATTAAAGTTAGAGTCTTCACGGTATAATTGTTCTAGGCCTAAAGATTGTACTTTTCTGTGAGTTGATTGAGATAAATGATAGAAGCACCCACGTATATTAACTTCTCTGTTAAATATTTTATGCACAGCTTTAATTACTGCCTTTTCAAAATCTAAGTGGACATATTTTGGATCTAGGTAAAGATTTTTTTCCGCACACTTTTCAATTAATGATTTAAATAATAGTTTATAAGTCTCATATGTTTTTCTTTGTAATAGGCAATAAATTGCAGTTGTAAATATACCATCTACAACCACTCGGATGACATACAATTGCAAAAATACTTTTGGTGCTAGAGAAAAATTACCATCTAAATACCAAGTACTGGATTTAGATAAATTGCTAATACCTTCTACAGTGCCGAAAATCAAAATCCTTTGTTCAGAATCAACGCCATTGTCAACAATTAAAAGATTTTCATACGCAGGATAACCTGTAGTGCACCACTCATCTGTTGAACATTGTAATGATATTTTAATGAATTTTAAATACAATAGTAATATTTATAAATAATAATAATAAATTTAATTTAGGTACGCACCATCAATGATCAAATTGTCAAGACTAGTTGGTTCAATTGGATTTAATTTTGAACGTTGATTTCTCAAAGTTCTTTTCACATGATCTTCCACTGGCATTTTTGATCTTACGTTACCGTCCAACTTAGCAACTCCTTCTGCATATACTTCTAGTGGCTTAGATAGGCCACTTTTTGATTGTTGTTTCATAATGCATAGTGCTTTTTCCACATCTACCTTTTCACTATCTCCGAAGTGGTTATGATCGGACTTCAATACAGGGTCTTCTTTTTGAATGTTAGTGTATAATTCTCCCATACATTTAAAGGAGGACCTTTTTGAACACCTCCATGTTATTTTGGATTTACCAAAATGCTTTAACACATACATACATACATATACCCGTTGTTACACAACTTCTCACAACCTTTATTTGATGTAATAATCTCCATAACTTGGGTGTAGGACGAGTAGGTACAACAATTACAGCCAACAACCAAGTGTATACTAATGGAATACTACATATTATTTTGTTAGTACCTATTTGGATGGATACAAATACCTGTAATTTATCAATAAATTTTAATTTTATTACCCAACTAATATTTTGACTGGTTTAAGCAAAGTTCAATTTACTTACTTCATTCACTAGTATAAGGGTATCAACAATATAAATTAAATTAAATGTCAAAATGATTATCAGTAAATGTGTAATAAAACATAATTGGGTGTATTGTGATTCCATTCCCCTTGTATAAAACCATTGTAATATAAAATTAAACTTGAACAAATAATAAACACTCATATTATTTTCCAAACTTATATTTATATTATATTAATATAATTATATAATTTCCCAAAGTGCCTTCGCTGGTTGGTTCTTCCCTCAAGATACTACAACTACATACATATTAATTTAAAAAAAAAAAATGAATTTAATATTTAATTTTAAATTAATATATCAGGAGCCTTGTATTACATTTTTACACTTTTTGGCCCAACAGATAAAACTTTATTGATATTTATAGAAAACAAAAACTAAAAAAAATTGAAAACTGAAAATGTCCGTAAATAGCTCAAAAAGAGTCAAAATCTTTTTAAAATCGTATGGTGTACAGGAAATGCTAATATAAATATTCAGTGAAATTTTCATGTATCTACAGTTATTCGTTTTTGATTTACAACAAAATAAGGAAATCGCTACATGAGAAATCGAGTGAATATCCAATGTTGTAAAAATTTGAATTTCAAATGCTCATAAAAATTTAATTTGACTTTTTTATAGACATTTTTTTTTTGATAAAGGTAGATAATCTTATAAGGAATCTTGTATCACATTTTAAAATCTTAACTCAAACTTAACTCAAAATAATTTGTTAATTTGTTAATGAGTTATACCAAAAACCAAAATCGATTTTTTTGGAAAACCGATTTTGAGTAAAAATTCCCGTTTTTCCTTAATTTTTATGTTGTTTTTCCCGGCGCTTGTGAAAACTACTGGGAAATTCTTACTTTTGACCCCTCAAAGTACCAACTAGATTCACTTTCCTATCAGAAAAGCTACTGATGAAGAAAATCCAAGCACTTTTACTGTCCTAAAACGTGATGACAGACATAAAAAAAAATAAAAAATAAAAAAAATAAGAAATAAAACACACATTGTAAAATCAATACATTCATCGTTTCACTCAGAATCTAAAAATATTATATAATTATATTAAATATAGATGCATTAACATTTATTTTTAATTTTAATGTTTTCGGAGGGCTTTTTTTCTGTGGGTTTTTTTCCTTGGTAATTTCTTTTCTATGGGTTTTTTTTCCATGGGTTTTTTTTCCGTGGGTTTTTTTTTCCGTGGGTTTTTTTTCCGTGGGCATTTTTTCCGCGATTCTAAATTTGTATAGTAAGGTATTTTTTTTATTTTAGCAAAATCCAATTAGGTATAGCTAGGTGGATAGTATTTTTGTACATAATAATCCATAATATTATGTTACGATAATAATATAAAGATATAAAAATGAAAAAAAAAATGTTGTTTTCAACTAAAATCTATAAAATGCCAACAATACTAAATAATATGAAAATTATACCTAAAGTTTTTTACTGCGTTAGATATTTTTATTTTATCCGAGTAAAAAAAAACTATAAGCATTTCAAATTTTAAACTTTTAACTTAAGTGTATCTTGTGTTCTTGTTATAGTATTATCAAATATTGTGGAGTAACACATAACCAACATAAAAATTTTATTTATCAAGAAAAAATGTCTCAAAAGTTCCATTACATATTTGATGAAGTTTAAAATAAATGTAACTCAATATTGTGGAGAAAAGTGCAAATAGTACACTAATATTATATTATATTAAGTAATAAGTAAAAGTGACTCTATGCAAAAATTCTACAGGTACAAATATGAATTAATATGTAATACATACCTGTCATACCTACTTAAATACCCACTTAGGTTTTCGTTCTGCTATTTTGCAACAAATTTAGTAGTTTTTTTTCGTTGTATCCTAATTTCTAGACAACGTCCAACATTTATATTTGGACACCTTCCAACATCGCATTTAAAAAAATTTGATTCGAGCCGGAGCAAATTTATGTTTTGCTTAACACTAGATGTAATTGGATGTAAAAATTTCGCAGATTATTTTTTTTTTTATACAGGCGCCAAAACCCTAAAGTAGGTACCTGTGTTGAATTAAGATATTTTATTTTATAACATTTCGGTTGCAAAGATCGGTACCAGTGCCAAAACGTCCCACTGAAAACCCCTATGAGGGTATAAATTCAACATAGTTTCTCGCTGGTATTTCGTATAGATTTGTTGTCCCATCCGTCGACGGTTGATCTTGCCAGAAGAACGTACGTCTAATAAGACACAGTATTACTCTTTTATAACATCAACATAATTTATAGGTACCTACGTATCACATAATAATATGTATTATAATTTATAATAATGAGGCGGCGCTGACACGGTTGACCTACAAAACACCATAAACGGTTATCACCGGTTTATCGGCTGTGGTTTAAAAATAGAAATACATTTTACAATAATAACAATCACAAGTAATAATAGTTCGTTATCTAGAGTAAATTATCGTGGGTTACAAGCTCGCTGATAATGTAGGTACAATTTGGATGGAAAATGGTATAGTTGTATAATATTGACTTATTGTACATAAAAACACAGCACAGTTTATAGCTGCTGACCGTAATTAAAAACAAACATTTGCATGGAAAAGAAATATCGTTATTATACCAACGAAAACGACGATATTGCTAAACATACTAACTGTTAAACCGTGCAACAACCCCAGGTCCAAAATACCCTAGTAAGACATTTATGGATTATTAGATACGTCCCACAGACTGTTCAGGGTGCCTATGCGTTACAAGTCGTCAGTCTAGATGGGATTGAACGATTTTTATAGCAATATTTAGTATTTTACGATAATATATATTTTATGGCGAACACCGAAAAAGAATAAAACATAATAATTTAACAAAAAAATAATAATGGACTATATCGGGATTGAATCTATTACGTGGATAATAATATTATTAGGTATTTTATAATATAATTTGGTCACTCCTTAATAGTAAACAAATGTGATGCAACAAATCTCATCAGTGAACGGGACGCAATAGAAATCGTCATTTAGATGACGCACACAACTTCGGCCGTCCAAAACAATTTAGATTAATTTGACTATTGAAAACTACATAGGATCATCAGCCATCGTTCCTATGTTTTAATTGATGAAACAATTTGGTATAACTAACGTACATTTTGATGAATTTTATTACGAGAAACTCGTGAACGGTATTCTAATGCTATAGGTATTATGGTAACATAACCATAGTTGGATCATCGCAATAGGCTAACGCCCTAACACAGGTGGGTCAATAATCGTACAGAATCTATTGACTATTATCTATATATTATAACACACGCATACTGCATAATTACAATATTATAATATGATCTAATGTAAAATAATATTATGTTTTAAATATTTTTGATACTACGATACGTTGTAACTTGTGTCTTGTAGTACTAAAAATACTAAATCTTATACAATCTTAAATAAGGAAATAAGGTAATATTTGACCGTGATTTAAATTAAATACCTATTCTATATTTTTATGGATTGGCGTTTCTAAAATATATAAGATAAATTGGTATGTTGTTTTTCCAAAACATTTTATTATGTATCAATCATATTACGTGTATCATATGTTTCAAACTAGAAATTTCATCGTAATGAATTATCCGAAACGATAAAATAGTCCAAATAAATAAATAAAAATGCGATTCTTGCGATAAAGTTTTTCTACTCATTATAGCATATATTTTTACAATGCCATTTGTCAGTGTTTTTAAAAAGGAATTGGTATAATATTTAAGTTAGGTATAATACTTTTAAGGTAATGTTGAATTTTGTAAGTGGTTCATCATAAATTCGATCGTTATGTGTGTGTATAAATATGTAATATATATTTTGGTCATTCATTTTAGGGTCGTAAGTAAGTCAATGAAAGTAGGACATATTTGTTTACTGACCTCGCAATAACAAAAACGCACTAAATTTATTGTAAGGAATACATATTTTATATGAACATAAATTCCGCATTTTCCTGCAAGGACATAATTTTATGTTGTATAACAATGCTAAACATGTTTGACTAAGGTAATACGTGGAAATATAGGTACCAACCTTTTTAATTTAGTTTAATTTACCTCGTCTAAACATGAGTTATAATTATATTTAAATCCAATATAATGTATAAAAATAAACAGTAAAACTAATAATATAACGATAACCTGCAGGGCGATTCTCTAAAAGTTTTAGTCTAAAAAACTTGTTAATTCAAAACATACAAACGGTAATTGCCAATATTCATAGTACCTATACGCATGTAATAACATTTGATTAAATTGGTAAAATGTAAAAACGCATTCATGTGTTTTTATAGTGTTTGGTTGGTTTGAACGTGTTTTATTGGCGATATATGTCTTAAATATTTAAATGTAATATATTTTTAACTGCACGAATCAATAAATTTAATACCATCAGTTATCACTTCATTACCTATATTCTGTACACTGGCCAAACATACCTACATCGTATAATATAGTATATAATATTATTATTATCCATATGATAATAACGTATCATTAAGCTGATATAGTCATATAGATAAGATTTTGTAGAGTTGACAATTTAAAATGTTGAGTTCAAAAGAAAAAAAATAAAGCAAATAATATGCGTCTGAATTTTTTAATGATCTATAAATGGTTTTGAGATCAAATCCGGTCATTAAACCTTACTATTGGCTCGGTTGAACACATGATTGAAATGAAGCAAACAACACTGACT